GTAGAATTCACCAGTGAAGCCATCTGGTTCTAGGCTTTGCTTTGTGAGGATTTTTTTATTACTAATTCATTCTTTTTACTTGCCACAGGTCTATTCAGATTTTCTATTTCTTCTCGAATCAGTGTCAGTATTTTTTTATCTTTCTAGGAATTTGTACATTTCATCTAAGTTATCTAGCTTGTTGACAGACAGTTGTTCACATTATTCCCTTATACTTCTTTTTACTTGTATAAGATTGGCAGTGATGTGTCCTCTTTCATTCCTGATCTTAGTAATTTGACTCTTCTTTTTATCTTGGTCAGTCTAGCTAACGTTTGTCAATTTTGTTGATTTTCTCAGAGAATCAGCTTTTGGTTTTGTTGATTTTTTTCTATTGTTTTTCTATATTTCTATTTATTTCCACTGTAGTCTTTATGATTTCCTTTATTTTTGCTTTGGATTTAGTTTGCTCTTCTTTTTTATACTTTCTTAAGGTGGAAATATTGAGATTTTTTTTTAACAGAAGTATTTACAGACATGAAGTTTTCTGTAAGCATTACTTTTACCACATCCCATGAGTTTAGGTATGTTGTGCTTTCTTTTTCATTTATCTCTAAATATTTTTTAATCTGCCTGTGACTTCTTTGACCCATTGTTTGTTTAAGCATGTTATTTAATTTTCACATATTTTTTTAGTTTTTCAGTATTCTGTTATTTATTTCTAGCTTCATTCCACTGTGGTGAGAAAGATACTTTCTATGATTTCAGACTTTTAAAATATATTAACACTTGTTTTATAGCCTAACATATTGATATATAGTCTATCCTGAAGAATGTTCCATGTGCACTTGAGAAGAGTTATTTATACTGCTTTTTTGAAGTGGAGTGTTCTGTATATATCTATTAGATCTAGTTGGTTTATAGTGTTGTTCAAGCCTTCTGCTTCCTGGTTGATCTAGTTGTTTATTATTGAAAATGAGAGACTGAACTCTCCAACTATTCTTATTGAATTCTGTAGTTCTCCTTTCAGTTAATTTTTTGCTTTACATATTTGGGGGCTCTGTTGTTAAGTACATATGTATTTGTAGTGGTTATATCATTTTGATAGATTGACTCTTATCATTGTTTTCCTGTGTTGCTAATAGCAATTTTAATCTTGCAAGTCTTTTATGTCTGATATTACTACAGCCACACCAGCTCTCTTGGTTACTGTTTGCATGGCATACCTTCACTCTCTTGCTTTCAACCTACTTGTGTCTTTACCAGTGCTCTTTATTTCTTCATGAGGATTTGATTTACTGTCTGATGTCCTTTCATTTCAGCCTGAAGAAATACTGTTAGTATTTCATGTAAAGTAGATCTGCTGCTGACAAACTTTTTCAGTTTTTTCATTATCTAGAACTACCTTAGTTTCTCCTTTCTTTTCTTTCTTTCTCCTTTCTTTCTTTCTCCTTTCTTTCTTTTCTTTCCTTTTTTATTCTGCACCATGCATCTTGTGGGATGTTGGATTTTAGTTCCCCAACTAGGGATTGAACCCGGGCCCTTAGCAGTGAGAGCACAGAATCCTAACCACTGGACCACCAGGGAATTCCTGTCTCCTTTATCTTTGAAGGATACTTTTACTTTATAGAGAATTCTGGACTGACAGTATTTTTCTTTCATCACTTTGATTAGGTCATCCCACTGCCTTCTGGCCTTTAGGGTTTCTGATGAGGAATCAGCTATTAATCTTGTTGAGAATTTCTTGTACATGATGAGTTGCTTCTCTCTTGCTAATTTCAATATTCTTTGTCCTTTTTTTTTTTTTTAGTTATAATTGACAGGCAACATCATATTAGTTGCAGGTGTACAATATAATGAGTCAATATTTGTATGTATTGCAAAATGATAACCACAATAAGTTTACTTGACATCCATCACTGTAGTTTTTTTCTTGTGATGAGAACTTTTAAAGTCTACTCTCTTAGCAACTTTCAAATATACAATACAGTATTGCTTGTTTGTTCTGGCAGCGCTGTGCAGCACGTGGGATCTTAGTTCCCCGACCAGGGATCAAACTCAAGCCCCCTGCAGTGGAAGCACAGAGTTTAACTATTGGACCACCAGGGAAGTCCCCAGTATTATTAACTATAGTCACCATGCTGTACCTTACATCCCTGTGACTGATTTATTTTATAACTGGAATTTTTTTACCTTTGATGACCTTCACCCATTTACCCACCCTCTTGTTCTTGTCTTTCAGTACCTTGGTTATGTTGTGTCTAGGTATGAAACTTGTTTATTCTACTTGGAGTTCATTGAGCTCCTTGGATGTTTAGATTGTTGTTGGGGTGTTTTTTTAGTCAAATTTAGTAAGTTTTTGACCATTGTTTCTTCAGATGTTCTTTCTGCCCCTTCCTCTCCTTCTGGAATTCTTATTTGCATATGTTGGTATGCTTGTGTCCCACAGGTCTCTGAGGCTCTGTTCATCTTTTTTATTGTTTTTTCTTTCTGATTTTCAGACTGGACAGTCTCAATCAACATATCTTCAAGTTTGGTGATTCTTTCATCTGCCTGATTAGATCTGCTGTTGAGCCTCTTTTAATTTTTCATTTCAGCAACTGTGCTTTTCAACTCCAGACTTTCTATTTAGTTCTTTTTTATAATTTCTATTTCTTTATTGATCTTCCAAATTTGGCAAGATGCCATTTTCACGCTTAGCTTTTAATTCTTTAGATATGGTTTCCTTTAGTGTTTAAGCATATTTATATCTGATTTAAAGTCTTTGTCTAAAAAAAAGAAAAAGTCTTTGTCTAATAAGGCCATCATCTGGGCTTCCTCCATAACAGTTTCTATTGATTGTAGAAACACCCCCACCACCACCCCATATATGGGCCATGCTTTCTTCTTTCTTTTCATGATTCATAATTTTCTGTTGAGAACTAGACATTTTTAAATAATATAATGTGGCAACATTGGAAATCATTTTCCCTCCTCATGGTTTGTTGTTGATGCTTTTTGTTGTTGTTTGTATATTGCCTTTTCTGAACTAGTTCAGAACAGATAACTATGTTATCTATTATGCTAGTTCAGCATCTTGGCCAGGCCACAATTCTAAACCAAAGATGCTGTGCGTAGAACACACAACCTTTTAACGAGTTCACAGTTGATAATAATATGCAATAAATAGCCTCAATCCATCCCGTGTCCATCCCACACATAATTTTCTTTGGACATATCAGAAAGCTGCCTCACAGCAAATCACCTAGGAAGCTTTTTATGATCACAAGTATGAGGTTCTGCAAGCAAATTTTCAAGATGGTCTACAGGATACCACTGCATACCCATTAGAATGGCTGCAATTAAAAACTGCAACAGGGGTTCCCTGGTGGCGCAGTAGTTGAGAGTCCGCCTGCCGATGCAGGGGACACAGGTTCGTGCCCCAGTCCAGGAAGATTCCACATGCCACAGAGCGGCTGGGCCCGTGAGCCATGGCCGCTGAGCCTGTGCGACCGGAGCCTGTGCTCCGCAATGGGAAAGGCCACAACAGTGAGGGGCCCGCGTACCACAGAAAAAAAACAACGACAACAACAATTCCAAATGTTTTTGAGGATGTGGAGCTACTGGGATTTCACAGACTAATGGTGGGAATGTAATATGGTATGACGTTGGAAAACAGTTTCACTTTTTTATATAGTTAAATATATATTTATCAAGCCATCCAGCAGTTCCACTCCTAGGTATTTACCCAAGAGAAATAAGAACGTATGTTAACAAAAAGACTTGTTATAAATGTTTATAACAGTTTTATTCGTAAATAGCCCCAAATCAAAATAAGCCCCAAGGGTCTATCAACAGGAATTTGGATAAACAAATTGTAGTGTGTCCATGCAATGGAATACTATGCAGCCATAAAATGAACAAACGACCAATACACACATTATGGATGAATTTTAAAAACATGTTGAGCAGAAGCCAGCCCCAAAAGGTACATATTTTGTGATTCCATTCACATGACATTCCAGAAAAGGCAAAACTATAGTGACAGAAAGAGTCAGTGGTTGCCTGGGCCAGTAGTGGATGGGAGCACAGGAACTTTGGGGAATGCTGGAAATGTTTTGTATTTTCATGGCAGTGGAGGTTCCACAGGTATATACATTTGTCAAGTCACACTGAACTACATACATTTTAAATATATGCAGTTTATTGTATGTAAACTATACCTCAATAAAGTTTTGTGGTTTTTTTAAGATATAGTTAAAAAAAAAAAAAAAGATGGTCTGCAGGAGACCCCCTTCCTTCTGACTCTCTGCAATGCAGGTCCTCAGACACCTGCAGGGCCAGGTGGAGGAAGTGAGTCAAAGCACTCAGGGTGCCTGAAGGGGACAGGTAGTGCCAATGTAGCCAGATAGGCTAGGTTTGTTTTGTCATACATATTTTTGTGTTAAGTCTTCTTAAGACATTAGCACCTAATTCAAAACTTTTAATTATGCCACACAAGCCAAACAAAATGAATCTTCAGGCCGCATTTGGCTCACAGGCAGCTTGTGGTCTGCGCCCTAAACTCTGCCTTGGGCTCAGCCAGCAGAGCTGTGAGCTGGAACCACAGAGTGACTTTTCCTGGGTGTGGCTCTGGCATGCTGCTCTTGACCCTCCTTGAAAGAGGTGATGGGCAGTGCAATGCAGTGGGTCTGGGTCCAGTCCATGAGGTGGGGCCCTGAAGCCTTTTGACAAAAAACAGCTGTGTGGGAATGCCCAGTACATCCTCTCCTCTGATTTTTGCATGTTCTTGGGGATCCTGTTGCACCCCTGGGGGTACTTGGCCTGGATTACAGTCACATTAGTACCTGGAAAGATGGGACAACCCATGGGGGGACTCAGAAGAACCCCATTTACTGCCCAGCATGCTGAGCCCTGAGGGGTTCAGGCCTGTGCTCATCACTGCCTTTGCACTGTGTGTGGCAGTTCTGCTGCCCTTCACAGTCCCTGGGGCATGGCCCACTGTGCTGAGCACCTGACATGCTCTTTGTCCCCTGGCTCAGTTTGGGGGCAGCCCAGTGTCCTGCGCTGTGGGGCTGGCCGTCCTGGATGTCTTGGAAAAGGAGCAGCTGCAGGCCCATGCTGCCTCTGTGGGCAGCCTCCTGATGGAGCTCCTTGGACAGCAGAAAGCCAAACATCCCATCCTTGGGGACATCAGGTGAGGCTCAGGGTAGCAGTCACCACCTGCCAGGGGCCTGGTGTGGTTCCTTCAGGTGGTGCCATCACCACCTGGGATGGTGGGAACTTTTAGCTCCACTCCGCAGAGGAACTGAAGCACCTACAGGTGCTATTGCCCAAGATGGCACCTCTGGAGGGAGGAGGGGGGTGAAGCCAGGATCAAACTTTTCCTCTATCCACATTGAGGCCCCCTCACCATCGCAGTTACTTCCTGGAACTGTTTTAGCACCCTCCAAGGGTTCCTACAGCTCTCAGCCTCCCCAGGAGGCAGAGGTGCAAGCCCTGGTGGGCTTTCTGACAGGGGCTTGGCTGAGGCCCAGGCAGAGGGTGAGAGCAAGGACCATGGTCCCTCAGGCCTGGCCTCCTGAGATGTCACCTTCTGCTCCAGGGGCGTTGGGCTCTTCATTGGTGTGGATCTGATCAAAGATGAGGCCACAAGGATGCCAGCAACCGAAGAGGCTGACTATGTGGTGTCCAGGTATTTTTTCTTGAAACAACTTGTTTCTATGGCCCTGACTGGGAAAGAGCTCCCCTCTTGCCTCTCCCAGGCACGCTGGGCCCACGCAGGGTTGACTGAAGGAGGTGGCTTTTAGTCTCTGGGTTAGAGGGCTGCCAATCTGTGCACCCCTTTGACTGGGCTCTGCAGACAGAGAAAGCGGCCCCATCAGCTCTGTACCCAGTGCCTGGCAGCAAAGGCTTCAGATGGGTGTGGCCCGTTCCCAGCCTGAGCAGACACTTCTGTGCAGAAGCTCTCAGACCCAGGCAGCCCCAACGCTGCATTTCACAGCCCCAGGCTGCCCGAGGGAAGCAGCTTCTCCAGAGCCACACCTGAGGCTGTGGCAGAACCAGACTCCCCATTCCTAGAGGGTTTTCAAATAGGACTCCTGTTCCTTGTCTGGGTGGGGAGTGTCTGGATGACTCAGCATCTCAGGACTCAGGAGCCCTCGCTCCCAGTTCTGGTTCTCATGTTCTTTCACTTGAACCCCAGGCAGGACCCAAGCCCCAAGACCCTTTCCCTTCTTGTTTAGTTACTTCCTTTTTATTTCCATTCCTCACCCCTACCTCCTTACCCCACCTTGGAAAACCCATCTAGTTTGATGCGTGTCCTTATTCAAGTTGTGAAATGTGTCATTCTGTTTCAAATTCACGTAAACAGTATTGATGTAAAAATAGTTCTCCCCACACAGTTTTTGAAGCTGAGCCCTCCTGCGTGGCTGCCCAGCCCCTGCCTTCTCTGTGCTGGTTGGATACATCCACCAGCTTACCCACCCCTTCCCTCAGGGAGCCTCAAGACTCAGAAATTCAGGATGGTCTGTGGGAAGGATGGAGTCAGATCCTCAGCCAAGCCTGACCTCCTCCACCTTACAACCACCCCTGTGGTTTCTCCAGTTCAGTGAAGAAACAGGAACCAGGTGGAACGGTGTTTCAGTGGCAGTCACCCTGCTAAAGGCAGAGCTGGATTTAAAGTCCAGAACCTGATCTTTCTAGCACAGATGCTGTCAGTGCCAGGAAGACTGGGATGCGAGAAAGGAGCCAGAGGCAGGCTGAGGACACCCTGCTCCTGACAAGACTTACATAAAAGGAATAAATAAAAAAGAATGAGAGTTGGGGGTCAGAGAGTGTAAATACAGTCACATCAGACCCCTTCTCTCAGAGGCCAAAATACCTTCCTAGGTTAAAAGTGTAAATGTGGAATATTAAAAACAATTATTAGATACCAATGATGATGTTAAATAACTTCCAAAAAGAACTGGAAATTAAAACTGGATAGTCCTGTCTGGGGTTACAACATAACCTGGGGGCAGAGTAGAGAAAGGGTTGGCAGGGAAGTTAGAAGCTAGGTGAGGGCTCCATGGGTTCACTGTACTACTCTCTTTGTGAATGTTGGACACTTTCCATATAAAAAGTAAACCATACAACGTCACATAAACCATATGTTAAAATGAAAAATGCAGGGACTCTTACTGTCCACATTGTAGCCCCGTGGCCAATCTCAGCTTCAACTGGGGCTCCAGGGATGGATGAAGCAAGACTCCTGCTTGGGGGTTGGGGGGGGGGTGCGGGCAGCAGGCTCAGGGCCAGATGTAGGGCACCCCAGACAGGGGCCTCTGATGCTGGGCCATAAAGTTGGGCAGGAGTTTGGCAGGCGGTGGCCAGTGCTGTATCCTGGTGGGAACTGGCCTATGGAAGGTTCTGAGGGCAGTGTGGCTGGAGTCCCACCCACGAGGCAAAAGCCAGGCTGAGGAAGGTCTGAAAGGCCCTTGGCTGGTGAGCAGCAGGCCCTGCTGTGTCCTATCCTTGCAGGCTGAAAGAAAACTACATTTTGTTGAGCACTGATGGCCCCGGAAGGAATGTCCTGAAGTTCAAGCCCCCGATGTGTTTCAGCTTGGACAACGCACGACACGTGGTAGCAAAGCTGGATGCCATCCTGACAGGTGAGCCTGGAGACCCAAGGGGCAGCTGATAACTGTCTCTACAACCCAGCCTGGAGCTAGGACCTCTCAGCATGCCCAGGGACGGGTGCAACAGCTGAGCCAGGTGTCCTCTGAACAGTGCAGGGAGTAGGGAGCTGAAGTGGAGGCCTCCCCTATTCCTGCCTGTGCCCCCCAAAAATCTGAGCCCTGGGTAGGTGGGAACTGAGCCACCACCCATCCTGCCTGGGCAGGCACCAGTGTGGCATGCAGGACAGGGAAGCAGGGCTGGGCTTTTAAGCCCAACTATCAGAACTAGTGGGAGATTCCATTGTGTCCTTAAAGCCTCCCTGAGATGTAGGTGGCAGGAGCTTTGCTTTTTTCAGCTGCTAAGTGGCTGAAATGAGATTTGCACCCTGGACTGATTCAACACAAAATGAAATCCCTCTGCACATTCCTTATCATTTAGGAAAGTCAAACTCTCCTCTAAATCCACTTACAAGGAAATCTATAATTACCAAATTGGACACATCGATGCACTGAGGCAATGTTGCATGTACAGAGCTCAGTGGGGGACCCCAAAATAGGTTAAAATGCTATCTTCCTGGTAGAGATCAGAGCAGCTCAGCTACTACCACCCCCACCCCACCCCCAGGCTATTTCACTGCCGTCGCCAGGTCTCTAGAGCTGAGGCCAGTCCCTACTAGACAAAACTGGAGGTGGTACAGAACCTGCTGGGGGAAGGGAATGTATTTTCGGGAAGCCTGCAGAGGAAAAGCTGACTGGGCACAGAACTGGCTCGGAGTTACTGTATAGAAGGGACTTCAGTTGAGCCTGGAAGCCTCAGGAAATCTGAGGGCTGGTTTTGTCCTCTTGGGAAATTGTTGCTGACCCTGTGGTGGCCTGTACACATGGGTAAAGGGTGGGACATGGGCTTGGACAGGCCAGTGGGCCCCATCTCCACACTGCCATCCAAGAAGCCTGGACACTGAAGGCAGAAGTCTTTAGCAGAGGAGAAAGGTTGACCATCTTTTTCAGACATGGAAGAGAAAGTGAGAAGTTGCGAGACACTGAGGCTCCAGCCCTGAGGCAGCTCTGCTGAGGGGTGTCCTCTAGGTAAGTGGCCTTACTTCTTGTTCCTAGAGAACCAGAACTGGGTTCCTTACCATCCATTTAGTAGCTCCTTCAACATTCTTGTCGCAAGTGATGTCCCCTTCCCACAGGTTAGTTTTAATACTGGGAGGCTCTGGCTGCCTTGGGCTCTCCCCATCCCCCACCCCTGAAAAATCTCCAAAGTACTTAAGTTTGCATTTGATGGCTGAGCAAAGAGTATAGCTATTTCCTCCCTTCTCCAGCTGGTTCCTCTATGGGAGAGCTTCTGCCAGGCTTTATCCACCTGCAGTCCCCAGCCAAGTGCTGTGTCTTACAACTAGCTATCTTAGGCCTCAGCCACTAGACTTGGGGTGCTCCAATCAGGCCAAGAGATAGGCCCTGCCACAGGGGGCTGTTAAAACCCAGAGGGGCACCATCTTGCCCAGATCCAGCTGGCCCTTTCTGTGTCTGCTCTTATCTTTAGGTTCACACTGTCTTTGCTGGGAGAGAGAATCCCATTTCCAATGGCAAGTCAAGACAGGTGTTCCAAGGTGCTCCAGACCCGAACTGCCCTGGGGCAGTGTCCCCACTGAGGGTGGTAACCCTCACTGTACTGTCTTCACCCCCTTGAACAGCTGCCCCAAATATCTGAGCCACTCCACTTTCTTTAAAGGGGCACAAGTCCTAGGCAGGGCCAAGTCATTAAAGGCAACTAACCAAAGATGTGGAGAGAGTGTGTGCTTATGCCTGACAGGATGCAGGTTAGGTGGTCTTGGAGGATACTGGAGCTCTGGAGCACCTGCCCCCCCTTCACAGTATATCCCACACTCACCCAGGCTTGGGGGTTTTTAAATTTTTATTTCAAAAGCTTGGATAGCTTCAATATCCAGGTCGTGGCAAAATCAGGACACGTGTAAAATACCTTACAATACATTAGATTCCCGAAAGGTACCAAAAAGTACAGTAAAATTAACACTTCCATTATAGGAAATGTATGACACAAATAATATAAAATTAAAGGTGAAAAAAGGTGACACTGGCTTCCTAAGATACAATTTACTCTTTACAACCAGGGTCCACAGGTCCAGGCTGCAGAGCGGCTGCAGGAAGCAGACCCTCCAATCTGGCTCTGGGTAACCGGGTAATAAAAATGAGCCCATAATGCCGCTCTGGCCTCTTGAGCCACCACACGCTGCCTAAAACAACTAGAGCTCTGGATATATTAAACAGGAGAGTGATTTCCAGGGGGGAAATTTTAAATAAGACGCACATGGGACAGCCCATAGAAAGTTTGCCAAGTTAAATTTGGTACATAATTGTGTTCACTCGATATCCCAACAAAGCGTGTGCGGTCAGTCGGACACTCCTGCCAAAGCCTCAGTATGGCTTGTAGTTATTCTGATGGCCACCGCGTCGCTGGCTCTTCCCGTAATTTGTACTACCCTGACCTAGGGACAAGAACAACAATGAGAGCAGCTACAACTTACTGAGCATTTACTCCTGTGCCAGGCGCTTGATATGCATCCTCACCAGAGCCAACAACTCTGATAGGACATCTTCCCCACCTTCCTGAGCCCCAAAAGCTCAAAATCGGGTAGCTCCAGTGAGCAAGCCAGGCCACAAAGCCCAGCCTGTCCGACTCCAAAGCCCCTGCTGCCAGTGGCCCCTGTACTGTCTGTCCTGCCTCCCAGGGTGGGTGAGTGGATGGGGGCCTCCCTCTCTCCTACTTACTGTAGTCGTAGCCGGGGCCGTAGCCGTAATAACCATAAGGCGAGTAGTCGTAGCCGCCATAGCCGGGCCCGTAGCCCTGCTGGTAGCCGTAGCCCTGGTTCCAGTAGCTGCCGTAGCCCTGATTCCAACTCTGACTCTGACCTGTGGGGGGGAGCAGGGCACAGGGGCCCATGGACCATTTAGCACACGCAGGAGCTAGGATGGAGGAAATCCTGCCCTTTGGGTGGCGAGGTTACTATGGCAACTCAGAAAAGCCAGGGGGCTGCTGTCCTGGTGTAGAGGGAGGGGCCTGGGCCCAGCCCTGTACCTGAGACCCAAGCTGGGGATAAGAAGGCCAGGCCAGGATGGAAAACTAACTTCACTGGGGCAACCGAGGCAGCTCACTCTCATTCAAATCACCCTCTGATCACCCCCACCCTCCCTGGCAGCTTGGCCTTAAAAAGGATGGAGTTCAGGCTTTGGAGTCAGAGGGGCCTGGGATGGAAGGAGGTTAAGCGCCTGGCACAGCCTTGCCCTACCCTTCAGCCCACCCACCCATGGGTGTACCAAGACTCAGGACAGCCACAGAGCCAAGCACACCCCGTCTTGATGCAGATGCCCCCTCTGCCCTGGGGCCCCAGACCACATGAGAAAGATGGGCTCTTCCACTCCAAGCAGCAGCAGCAGCAGCAGCAGCAGCATAGCCTCAACCCAGGAAAACCATTTCTAATTCTGCCCACCCTGCTGCACCAAGCACCAGAGGCCAAGAGAGCCCCCAAAACAGGCACAGAAGCTCCATGCAGGCAGGGAAACAGGACCCATCTTCATCTGGGTTCCACTCACCTCCTCCACTTCCGCCACCACCACCGCTGCCTCGGTTTCCTCGGTTGCGATTCCCACGGCCCCCAGAGCCATACTGCTGCTGTTGATAAACCTCTTTGGGCTGAGCCACCTTGATTTCACACTGAAAGCCAAGAGAACAGTGGGTCATGCCAGTGGGACAAGCCCTGGGCAGGGAGTGTGCACGAAGGCCTTCGCTGACACACGTTCAGGAGGCAGATCTTCTCTATCTGCTCAAGAACACATGCTGGGGTGGGAAACCACATTTGGACTAGCTCTCAGAACCACAACTAAAACCTAGACAGACCGAAAAACTCACACAATGGGCTTTTTGGCTCAAGCCTTTCCCCAGAGTGCTTGAAACAATGGGATACACCCAATGGGATAGGTCTACTGATGGTCACCCTTGGGTGCTCTAACAAGTGGGAGAAGAGGGACAGCTGGACCAGTGCCAGTCCAGTGTAGCAAGACACCACACCAGGTGTCAGTCTGGTGCCACCTTGGGCAAGGGAGTCAAAGAAGGCTTTCCAGGTAAGGGATCTTAGAGAAAAATGTTCTTTTTTCCCCCCAGAAGAAATAAGCATTCCACTCAAATACACTATTGAGATGGCAAACCTGACCTCCATCTTATAAAGAAAGCCACTGAGGCTCAGGGCAGCCTTCCCTAAGGCCATTCTGCTCCCCCTTTCTCCTCCAACCACTGGTGTACTGTTGGAATGGGCCAGATATCTGTGTCTTCTTAGGGCCCAGAGAATCAATTTCCTTTTTGCTCAAAACTCTGCCTATTATGGGTGGGAGTAGGGTCATGGACCTTCAAGTGCCCCTGCTTTAAGTATATTTTTAAAAGAAAGCCCACTGACACATAACCCTCTCCATTAAGACCAATTAAAAAACCATTTTAGGGGGCTTCCCTGGTGGCGCAGTGGTTGAGAGTCCGCCTGCCGATGCAGGGAACATGGGTTCGTGCCCCGGCCTGGGAAGATCCCACATGCCACGGAGCAGCTGGGCCCGTGAGCCACAGCCGCTGAGCCTGCGCATCCGGAGCCTGTGCTCCGCAACAGGAGAGGCCGCAACAGTGAGAGGCCCGCGTACCGTGCAAAAAAAAAAAAAAAAAAAAACACCATTTTACATAAGATGTCCCCATACAAGCATACTCAAAAAATCGGCAAATTACCAAGTGTTGCAATCTCATGTTTTCTATCCTACTAAGTTAAAAATGCTGAATACAACCAGCTAAAATACACTTATTTCAAGATCAACCACTAGCAGTTTGACTAATGGTGCCCTAAGAGGCTCTTCATGCCCGTTTCACATCATGGCACAGAGAAAAAGGCCTCTTTCCATGTCACTGTCCACTGGGGTAACCATTAATGGATGAGGTCTCACCCAACAGCGCCTAATGATCCCATCTCATTTTACATAAAATTTAGGCGCCCAATCCCAAATCCAATCTTTCCAAAAATTCCCAGCCAGGATTGAGGCTTCCAGGAGCCCCACCCTATGTGTCCCACATTATCTGGCTGCCACTCCTGCTCAGGCAGAGCCTGCCACACCTTGCCAGTGGGCCACACCCTCAACTCCCAACTGCCTCGGCCCTGGAGAACACTCGGAACATGAACTACCTACCCTCTCTCCTGTCCAGAGTTCAGAGGGAAGAGTTGCCCCTCACTGAACAGGACTCTCGCTTATTTGAAGTCAAAACTGGCTCTAGATTTAAGGTGGCCAGGACCCTGGGAGCTCTTTGGAAAGGATCTTTGGGGTGGGGCTTAATTTAACCAGTAACCAAAGGGGATGGCGATAAAACAGACTTGGTTGTGGCAGGAGATAAAGATAAAAGCTCTGCAACAATGTCCAAAGCAGGTAAGACTTCCCCACAGAAAACAGTAAATGGCAATTTTAGAATCTTCTGAGACCTTAACTGTAGGACTTACACACTTTGCACTCTACATACCTTTAAGTCACCTTTAAATCAGGAACTGAAGAGGCTACTCAGCATGCACACTATCCCATATAAGCCTCCCGTCCTCCAGTATTCTCCTGCCTCCCCCATATCCTGTCCTACCAGCCTAGGAGCTCCGTGAAAGACAGGACAACCTGCCCCTCCCTTATGAGGACAGCAGACAGTGCAGAAAACAGTAACGTATACCCTGGAGAACTCTTGGAGGTAACCCAATGCCTAATCCACGCCTGCAAAGGCCAGCTCTCCAGCAGAATGCCAAGCACACACAGCTGGGGACACCTTACCTTACTTCCACTGATGGTGTGGAACTTTTTCTCCAGAACTTTCTTCACAGGTTCCTCTTCCTTAAAGGTGATGAAAACAAAGCCTCGTCTCTTGTTCGACTTTGGATCCATTGGAAGCTCAATGGCTTCAATCTGCAAACATAAGCAAAGCTCAGGACCCTACCGCAGAGCCTATAAAGAACTCACAGGAGAAAAAGTCCACGAACACCAGAGTGAAAAAGAGCTCCGGCCAGCCAAGGTGCCAAGAACCAGGAAGAAGGCAACCTTGGTGCAGCTGGCAGACCACTCCAGGAGCCACACACTCACCTCCCCAAACTCGCCGAAGTACTCCCTGATCTTCTCCTCAGTGGCTTCAGGATTCAGACCCCCCACAAAAATTTTCTTTACTGGGTCTTTCTTCATGGCCATGGCTTTTTTGGGGTCAATGACACGGCCATCCAGCCTGTGCTCCTTCTGGTCTAGAACCTGTTCCAACAGAAGGGAGCTGGGTTCTAACTCAGCAGCATGACCCTGAACAAGAACCTTCTCTTTGAACCACAAGACTCCAACACAGGCACACAAAACGTGCTTCACCCCCTTCAAACTCTACCCCCAATCTGACTTCCCAACCCTATCTCCAAACTTCACCTGGTTTACCTAAACACCTATAAATCTATCCTCACCCCCCCCACCAGTCTTGCCCATGCCGTGCACGCCCCCCTTCCTGCCCAGGCAGCCCTATCTCCTCCAGAAGTAAAGCAATAACTAAAAGCACAGGCTAGAACTAGACTGTGAGGGCTGGAATCCTCACACTCCACCCCTTACTAGCTATGTGATCTCTTCTACTTAAACTTCTGCGCCTTAGGTTTGTTTTCTACAAAATGAGTAAAATAATGCTTATCTCCTAGCAGCCATGGACTCTCTTCTAGTCCTCTCAGTGAAATGTCTGCTTCAGCAGGGTCCATAATAGGCACAAGATAATAAACGGTCAACCATAATCTTCCTAGACCACTCCTGCCCACTCACTCCTCCATTTAATCTCTACTTTTAATCCCTTCAAAAAGGAGAGAAGGCGTTCCCAACCTCTCTGCTTTTCCCAAAGCACCCAACCATGTGCAAAACACATTAAGCCAATCATGGTCTAAGAACAGTATCCTCATAGAATACACAGACTTCTGATTATAAAGTACCCAGCTTACCTTCTCCACACTGGCTGCATCTTTGAAGAGGATAAACCCAAACCCTCTTGACCGGCCAGTGTTGGGATCCATTTTTATTGTACAGTCAACGACCTCTCCAAATTTGGTAAAATAATCCTTTAGGTCCTTTTTGCTGGTATCCCAGCTCAGGCCACCAACGAACATTTTTCTGAAATGGTGGGGTGAGAACAGGGAAACAAGCCTTAGAAAACTGTCATTTCGGAAGGACTGGTCCGAGCAAAACTTTCATTGAAAAGATTGTAAATAAAGCCACCATTCGGAACAAAGGTTTACCCTTAGGGCCCATAGGGTTCTCTACCTCTGGAAGATGTTAACAAATCTCCGCTACCCTTCCAAACCCAATCTTGACCGTAACAAAGCCTCAGGTGACCCGTACCCCCAAGGAGGTGGGGGAAAAAGAAGCACAACCTAGCCGGAGAGCTAGGCCCTGGGCACTCACAACTGTAAGGAGTCTAGAATTTGTCTGACAACCGTGTATCAAAACGCTACGGTCCCTGCCACCTCCGAGCACTCGCTCTCAAGGAACTCAAGGCTTCCGGGGCCGAGTCGGAGTTCAGGCCGTGACTCCGCCCTGGAAAAGAGGCGGAGGAGGAAGGCCCTGGCGCGCGCCAACTCCGCCCACGCAGCCCAGGCAGTCCGCGACCCGCCGGGCCCCGGGTCCGAGCGCACTCCCCTTCCAGGCCGCCAGCCAGTGGCCCCGGGGCGGCGCCAAAGTCGACCCAACAAACTCATGCAAACTCCGGCGCGCACGGAAAGCCGGCGGCGCGGAGCTGCTGCTCTGCGGGCCGCGAGCAGGCCCCGGCCGCCCGCCCCTCCCCCCGCCGCGTGGCGCCAACAAAAGGCGGCCCCGGAACAAAGGCGGCGCCCCCCGTCGGCCCGCGTCCGCACCTACCCCGCGTCCTCCTCGTTCTTGCTGGCGTTTATCTGGTCACCCTCGGCGCCGTTCTGGTTGCCGGCCTGGGGCGCTACGCTCCCGCCTCCGGCGCCAGCCGCGACCCCGGTGCCAGCACCAGTCCCGGCCGGCGACTCGCCTTCGGGGGCGGCCTCGTGTCCGTTCTCGGTGGCGCCCGTCGTCTCCATGGGCTGCTCCTCACCCGCTTCCGACATGCTAGGCCGTGGCGCGCGGCTCCTGCAACGAGCAGCCACGACGCATCAGGCCGGCGCCGCTCCCGCCCGGGTTCCCGCCCGCCACCCGCGGGCCCGGCCGCTCACCTCGCCGCCGATGACGCCGCGGGGCCCGCTCGTCCCCACCCGCCGGGAAGGCACCGCGGGCTCGGCCGCGCTCACACTTGCGCTCCCGGGCC